AGCATGGCAACGGAGATCGGCAGGCTTAGCGAGACCCAAAAGGAGTGGTTGGCCTCACCGTTTCCACAAGGCAATCCCTTTGGCCCCCTCCTTTTCCAGAATGGCTCATGCTTTCGAACACCAGACGGACACCACTGCCAGGCACCGGAACTCGGTGCAAACATAGACCAGGCTGGATTCTGTAAGACTATTGGTGACGATCCTGGGGGATCCCTTTAGGGGTTGCAGTGGGCGGGCCAAGGCAGGGGGGTAGGTAAGCCATACATCATGCAGCCAGTGCCGGAGTCGTAAAAATTTGTGTGCGGGCGCGCCCGTGGCGGGGATTGCAACAAACGAGAATAGAGTAGGTTCTTACTATTTGGCCTTGGCCGCTTGAGCTGAACGAGGTTATAATAATACTTATACTAGGACATCTCCCTTTTCGACGACCCCGTTGTTTTTGTTCTGTCCTTTTTGTTGCTGTTGCCCTCCTGTCAGCATTGTCCAACCCAACGCCGCCTGCCGACTGACCCAATTTTCGACATCTTTCTAGGCAAGGCCCCTCCTACATAGACACCATGGCCAACCCACCCCACGGCGGAGTCCTCAAGGACCTCCTTGCTCGAGACGCCCCTCGTCATGCCGAGCTTGAAGTTGAGGCGGAGAAACTGCCTGCGGTCGTCCTCACCGAGCGGCAGTTGTGTGATTTGGAGCTCATTATGAATGGCGGCTTCTCACCGCTCGAAGGGTTCATGAACGAGAAGGATTACAACGGTGTCGTTGAGAACCTGAGACTCGCAAGTGGAGCGCTCTTCAGCATGCCCATCTGCTTGGATGTCGGGGCCCAGATCATTGAGCGTCTGAAGATCAAGCCAGGCTCACGGATCACTCTTCGAGACTTCCGAGACGATCGCAACCTGGCTATCCTCACTGTGGACGACGTGTACAAGCCAGACAAGAAAAAGGAGGCCCAGGAAGTCTTTGGGGGAGACCCGGAGCACCCAGCCATCAAGTACTTGATGCAGGCGACCAAAGAATTCTACATTGGCGGCAAAATTGAGGCTGTGAACAAGCTCAATCACTACGACTACGTTGCTCTCCGATACACGCCCTCGGAACTCAGAGTGCACTTCGAGAAGCTCGGCTGGACTCGCGTGGTGGCTTTCCAGACTCGAAACCCCATGCACAGAGCGCATCGTGAGTTGACCGTGCGCGCCGCCCGTGCTCGTCAGGCCAATGTGCTCATCCACCCTGTCGTGGGTCTGACGAAACCTGGTGACATCGACCACTTCACTCGTGTCCGTGTCTATGAAGCGCTTATGCCCAGATACCCTAACGGCATGGCCGTTCTTGGTTTGTTGGGACTTGCAATGAGAATGGGAGGGCCTCGCGAGGCCATCTGGCACGCCATCATCCGAAAGAACCACGGCGCTACCCACTTCATCATTGGCAGGGATCACGCAGGTCCTGGCAAAAACAGCTCCGGGAAGGATTTCTATGGTCCCTATGACGCCCAGCACGCCGTTGAGAAATACCGAGCCGAGTTGGGCATCGAGGTCGTAGAATTTCAGATGATGACCTATCTTCCAGATACAGACGAATACCGGCCAAAGGATCAGGTCCCCGAAGGTGTCAAGACCTTGGACATCTCTGGCACCGAGTTGCGCAGACGTCTGAGAGTTGGTGCACCCATCCCAGAATGGTTCTCCTATCCTGAAGTCGTCAAGGTGCTGAGAGAGTCGAATCCTCCTCGCGCGAAGCAAGGCTTCACCGTTTTCCTAACTGGCTATCAAAACTCCGGCAAAGACGCCATCGCACGAGCCCTGCAAGTCACCTTCAACGAACAAGGCGGTCGCCCTGTCACCCTACTTCTAGGTGAAACTGTCCGTCACGAGTTGTCCTCCGAACTTGGGTTCACCAAAGAGGATCGCGACACTAATATTGCGCGTATCGCCTTTGTTGCCGCAGAGTTAACCAAAGCTGGTGCTGCTGTGATTGCTGCACCAATAGCACCATTCGAAGAGGCCCGCCAGGAGGCTCGAGAGACCATTCAGCGATATGGTAGCTTCTTCTTGGTTCATGTTGCAACCAGCCTGGAGTACTGCGAGAAGACTGATAAGCGTGGAGTCTATGCGCGAGCTAGGAGGAATTCAATCCGGAACTTTACAGGTATTAACGATCCGTATGAGAAGCCTGAGGATGCGGACTTGACCGTGGACTGTGAGAAGCAGTCGGTGAGGAGTATCGTCCACGAAATTGTCTTGATGTTGGAGAGCCAGGGCTTCTTGGGCAATGTGTAAACGCAGTTACGAGCATCGGTAAGGGTTGGTACAATGAGGTGAGGAGGGGCTTTCCGAGGATCATATAGGGAAGAAATCGTAGCCCCCTTACATAGACGTTTGATACACTAGAACCATTTTGGTTAAATGCATCCCCTCTGCAGCTACATAGTTACAAATTTCTGCGAAGAGCTCCGCGGCTCGTAAGCGCAAGGCTGCGAGGCGAGTTCCCCAGTAGGCGCCAAGGACGCGTCAAGGCTCAGAGCGCAGTTGAGCTCATGTCCAACCTGCGGACCGAACTGCTCAGAAAAACTAACCACCAACCTCTGACCTCAACCTCCTCGACTTCTTCAACTTTCATCCCTGTCTTCCTCCCATCTGAATCACCATTCGCTGGAATCGTCGATTCGCGTTCTTATCCCGCCACAATGTCGGAAGGCACACTTTTCAAGCCGGAGAAGGACTATACAAAGGAGGCGGACAAGGTCCTCCCCGAAGCAGAAGCATTAGCCAAAGTAGGGCCACTGACCGCTCTGAAGGAGAATCCGGGCTGACTTGTTCACAGAAAGATATCCACAAAGCTATTGACAAAATTCTCTTGCTGGAGAAACAAGCAAGACAAGTACATGATTGTATCCGGAGATCCTGGATTCTGTCCTCGCTAACCATGGGCTCCAGTCCTCAGACCTTGCCACAACCTCACGATGTCTAGTTACCATTGTAACGCTATGCAAAGAGGCCGGAGATTGGAGCCTGTTGAACGAGCAAGTCCTGCTTCTGTCAAAGAAACATGGCCAACTGAAACAGGCCATCACAAACATGGTGCAAGTTGTCATGGGATTTCTTGATGACACACCGAACCTTGACACCAAACTCAGTGTCATCGAGGCACTTCGGACTGTGACCGAGGGCAAGGTGCGCGAGCTCAATCAATTGTACGGGTCTGCAATTCGACTGACAAGGGGACTAGATCTTTGTGGAGGTCGAACGCGCCAGGATCACCCGAATACTCTCCAACATCAAGAAAGAGCAAGGCGACATCAAGTCAGCATGCGACATTCTTTGTGAACTCCAAGTCGAGACGTTCGGGTCGATGACGAGAAGAGAAAAGACAGAGTTCATCCTAGAACAGGTGGCGCTGTGTATACAGAACGGTGACTGGACGCAGGCAGCTATCCTAAGCAGAAAAATCAGCACGCGGTATTTTGCCCGAAAGCCGAAGAAAACACCCGAACAGATAGAAAAGGAGAAGAAGGAGAAAGCGGAAAAGGAAAAGAAGAAGCCTGAAGAGGAAGTTGAGACGGAGCAAGAAGACGATGTAACGGATCTCAAGCTGCGATATTACGAACAGCAAATCACCCTGGCAAAACACGAAGACAAATACTTGGAAGTCTGTAAACACTACCGACAAGTCTTGGATACCGAGTCAGTGGAGAACAACCCTGAGCAGCTTCGTGCCGTTCTTCAGAGAGTCATCTACTTTGTCTTGCTGGCGCCTTATGATAACGAACAATCCGATCTCCTCCACCGCATCTACCAGGACAGTCGTAATTCGGAAGTTCCGAAAGACGCAGCACTGCTGAAACAATTCACAATCCCGGAACTGATGCGCTGGCCCATGGTTGAGCAACAATACGGTGACCACCTCTGCGCGACAGACATCTTCTCCAAGACTGCGGACGCGAGCGATCCGCAGGCCCATACCCGCTACGAAGCGCTGAGGCATCGAGTGATCGAGCACAACGTCCGAGTAATTGCAAAGTACTACACCCGTATTACTTTCCCGCGCCTAACCGAAATGCTGGATCTCTCGGACGAAGAGACCGAGAAGTACATATCGGACCTCGTCACAAAGAAGACGGTCTACGCTCGCATTGACAGGCCCGCAAGGGTGGTGAGCTTCGAAGTCAAACGGGGACCGGACGAGGTATTGGATGAATGGGGCAACAGTATGAAAGGCCTCTTGCAGCTTTTGGAGAGAGTAGGGCATTTGATGCAGAGGGAGGAGATGATGGCGAGGATCCAACCAAAGGAGGAAGTCAAAAGAGCCAAGGCCTAGTTCACCGAGGAATTCTAATGAGATACCGGCTGGTTGGGGATGGAGTGGATTGTATCAGTACCTTGGTGTTCCGGGGCAGAATGGCAAAAATAGACTGGAGTGGCTTAAGCTGTGTTACATACACATACAATGCTGCCTCTTCAAGTTATTTTGGACGAGGTTCGGAGATCGGTGCATAGCTCAGCGTCCGCCTGGTTCGTGTAATACATGGCCCTGGACAACCTCGAGTGACTTGTCTATCGCTCTAGATCGAGTCGGAGCACTCGAGGAGGTGAGCCAAAAAGATTGAGCTTGCCGACGTATGACTCGCCCTGGGTCTGAATTCGCAACGGTCCTGATAGAGTATCAATAAAATGGACGTCCAAGTGTCTTCACTAACTACTGGCCGTCAAAGGTCCAAGTATTTCTTCACTAACGTCGAAGCTCACCCCCTCATGGTAGTATTGGCAGACAAGGCCCATGGCGAACTTTTTGTCAGGTGTCAATATTTGGGGCTGGCGTAAAACCATGCCAACCTTCCCCCGTGCCTGGCATTCCACCATGACACCAAATATATCACGTTGAGGCAGTGAGATTCCTTGAAAATCAAGTGTCGGCACGAAATCTTGGTTGGCACCTTGATAAAGAGGGTCCTATACACCCGCATCTTACAACCCCTCAGCATCCGTAGCACGAAAAGTCCAATGTCATCTCCTCCTCTCTCCCTTCTCCCCCCTTCCGCAATCTCCCCTTCAGCATTTCACCAAGCGCTCAATCTGTACCCCTCGCTGGTCGAGAAGGTATACAGATCCAAGCTCAAAAACGATCCCAAAAAAGTCGCCGACGCGTTGGAGCGCGATCTCTGGAGGTTTGAGGAGTTGCCCGCTGCTGTTGCTGCGGCTACTGCCGCCGATGCTGCCTCGGGCTCTCCTGGAGTCGAACGAGCTCAGGTCGCTGTGCAGGCCTCAAAGAAGGAGAAGAGCAAGACAAAGAGGAGTCTTCCGGAGGCGCCAGACGGCAGTAGTGGTGGGGGTGGATTGACCAAGGATGCTGTTGAGAGGCTGGTACAATGGAAGATGTAAGTTCTCTCTCTCCCCCTTTCTTCCATCTGAATTCGACGCTGCTGTTCTGTATATGCGACGGTAATGATGGAGCTGTTATTGAGCGGGCCTGATCAATACGGGGACGATCCGTTATATTAATATCGACTGCTTTTTGGCCGTATCTGCTTGTATCCTTCCTGCTTCCTGGCCCGTTTGCCTTGTCACAGCCGAGAGGGGACTCGGAAGCGGTTGCGCTTCCACGCCACACCTGGAGTCTGCATTTGTCATGGGCACGCTACATTTGTTTCTGCTGGAGAAGGCTCAAGACAGTGGTGGTGACCATGATGATTTACATGGCCTCGAAAAAGCACGAAACTATATTCCACGTTCTTCCCGTGTCTGGTTCACTTGCATACGTCCATTCCTGGCACGCATCCATCCCCTTTCCCGCAACAGGTATCTCGTCATTTTTCGTGGCCCTCGGAGGCAGTTATTCAGTATCTCTTCGTTTAGCCTGGTAAGCCAGCGCCCTGACTTGCTCTCTCTCTCAGAACCCACGGCCACTCTCGGCCCTTTCTCCCAGCCATGGTGCGGAAGAACGACGCCTCGGCAATCCAAACCCAGACGTCTCTCGCTTTCGCCAAACTCTGTCCTCCTTCACCGTCAACGTCAAAGTCAACGCCAACGTCGGCTTCCACGCCTCGTCCTCGTCCATCCGCCACCACCGTAGCCGAAGCCCTGGACGCGGTCTGCAAATTGACTGGCATCGGACCGGCCACAGGGACACTGATCCTCAACGTCTTCGACCCGGTCCACGTTCCCTTTTTTCAGGACGAAATGTTCCTGTGGTTCTTCCCCCACGTCGGCAATAAGCTCAAGTACACGCTCAAGGAATACCTGCGGCTGCTCGAGGCGGCGGCACCGGTCCTGGAGAAGTTGAACGTCCGGGCCGTCGAGCTGGAACAGGTTGCTTATGTCCTGGGACACGTGGACGTGTTGGACGCGGCGGAGCGCCAAGCACTAACGGACGTGTTCAAGGAGCGCGAGGGCGATACTGGTACGAGTCAGGACAGCAATCGCGGTCCGGACCGAGCAGCGGAGGATGGTGCTGATGCGAAGGACACCACGACCAGTACTCCACGGCGAGAGCCAGCACTAGCTGATAAAGGAAGGAAACGGGTATCGAGGGAAGACGACAAGGGAGGGGAAACCCGCGCTCCAAAACGACAATCACAGCGCAAGAAGTGAGGAGAATTAAAACAAAGAGTTTTCCCCTTTTCAGATCGTGCTGGAGATTATATTGGGTGATTAACTATTGTTTTTGCCATGCCGCTCCAGAGGACGAATCCATGTGGGCTGGAAGACGGCCCATATCCCTTTTGTCCCTTGTCCAAAACGCAATGCTGCAAGAACGGATCGATCAAACAGAGAATACACAGCAAGCATTATCAAGTATTGGCCAGCATTTTCCCCTTGGGAGTGTTTTACAAGATGAGACCCAATCCGGCAATGGCAATGGCGACGAGGCCACGAGCCATATCCAAGCTCGGTGCACCGTTGTCAGACGAGGAACTGTCAGTCGCGCTGGCACTGGCGGATGTTTCGCTGCCGGAGCCCACTGAGAAGCCGGTCTGGCTTGCGGAGTCTGAGGTGGTTGAGGCGGGCGCGCTCAAGGAGTCGCTGGAGGTTGCAGAGGCGGTCGAAAGAGGAGTGCTGGTAGTGGATGGGTAGGCGGACGCGGCGGCACAGTATTGCTCGCGCTGCTGTTGGACGGCCGTGACGCCGGGGTCGCTCGGGCAGTTGTTGTAGCAAGTCAGCAGGTTCTGGTACTGCGTGCACAGGCAGCCGTAGTCGGTGCTCTGGCACGAGTTGACCTGCCCTTGGATGGTTGCAAGGCAGGCATCGAGGATACTATCGTTCCCCTGTTAGCATGGATCATTCGTTCATAGGTCGACAGCCCCATTTGATGGTACTCACTTCTGGGCCGCACAGCTTGAGGTCGAGGTAGTCGTGGCCGCTGTGGAAGTGGCAGTCTGAGCAGCTGCCAGGGAGGCAATGGATGCCAACAGAAGAGTAGTCAATTGCATGTTGTTGTCGAGAAGCGAAGGTATTTAACGAGAGACTCGAACTGGAATGGGGCCAATGAGTGTATCGAATGTATGGATCAACAGAACAACACGCAATGACAGATTATTACCACTGTATATAGACCGTAAGAAGCAACCTGGAGGAAAGAATTAAGTAGGACGGGGAAGGAGAAAAAATAAATAGAGAACCACACCAACGCCGACAAGCAGCCACCCTTGACCACCGTGGAGAGACTTGGAACAGTTTGGTTGACAGGGTGGATATGCATAGTCGGTAGTGCCGTGTACCTAGTGTACCTAAGTAGGTATGGCTGAATCGAGCACCACTTTCGAAGAGCGCGAGCCGGAGGATTGGTCCAGTCGGATGGATTTCAGGAGTCCGGAGGTTGTGGGGGAGACAAGCACTGACCCTCGATCATCTCGTTAACTGGAGCCTTGGGTCTCCCTTTTGGAGCAAAGTCTCGCCTGTGGTCAGCGCGGCATTGGACGCCACCGGACTGAGACATGCCTGCATTTCTGGTGACCTCCTCCCCTTCTAGTGGGACGGACCAGTCAACAACGTGATGAAAGTGTGGACGTTTTGGTGCTTGACCATGGAGTGGCTTTCCGCTATCGGACAGCCAGTCCAACCAACCATTTCAGAGAAGAGAGGCAAGAAAAGCTCATGCATGTCAAAATATCAACCACATGCAACAAAGAGGGAAGAAAAGACACGTACATAAAAAGCGGAGAAGCGTCAAGAGACATGGTCGAAATTAGCATCGGCGCTAAAGCTTGGCCAAGACCCGCTAGCGTCAGAGACGGAAAATTGATTTGCTCTCGCAAGAGTTTAGCTGCGAGCCACTTTGCCAGTCATCACGTAACCCTTAAAACCCCCTTTTCCCCTTCATCATCCAAGATTGCTTCATTGACATGCCTCCCCCGTCCTTTGTCACTTTGCTAGCCTTTCTGGAGGACGGGATGGATCATTTGCATTCCCCAGACCTCGATAAATCTCCCGGTTCACAAGGCTACTCCGTACGAGGCACAGAGCACGGCGGAATGAGTGCCACTTCGGAACGTTGAATGTTAGGAGAAAGCAATCATCGGCCTTCGTCTATTCCCCTGCAAGGAAAGGTGCTCGGTAGACAGAATTTGATCATGAGCTTCCGATGGCCTGGAGAAGCCGTCGGGCCTGAAAGGTAATCACTCCATACTACGGTACATAGCCACCAGGGGTTTGTGCTCGGTCCTATTACATATTAGGTACGAGCCCTGTTGTGATAACCCGCTCTCGATTTCGCCCCCAACTCCGCAAGCATCTGCCATCGTTCACGAGGGTGTTGAGAATGGCAATTAACGGGGTAAGACCCACGCTGACCGAGAGCAGGACCACAGGTGGATGCTCGCTCATGTTGCACACACGTCATGAAAGATCTCGCCTGCCATGTGAGGGAGTCGGACACTGTCTCTGCGTTCTTTTGGTCGTGGACAATGTTGGATACACGCTGAGGAAGTGACCCACGCCAGCGGCATCTTCTCTCACCTGAGTTCTCTCTTCTCACTCCCCGCTGATACGGGAGTATTCTAGCGAATGCTTGTTGTCGAGAGGGTACTGTGTCGCTTGGCTATGTCTGGCTTTGCACCTCAACCTAGATTAAGCCGTATTGAACCAGACAGAACCTTGGGTAAAGGGGAAGAGGGGGCCAAAGGCTCCCCATCCACAGATTTAGAGAGAAGGACGTCAGTGGACCGACTCTCGCACCTTCCGGTCGATCGTGAATTTTCTCCAGCCATTTAGCTCTCGAAGCATCACGAAATGGGCGATCTGTCCGTATGCCGCAGACCGGGCGTTGAGGATGGCTGGTATCTACATCACCAAGCACTCCCTTCATGACCCCAAAAAGGTATTTGCCGGCGTCTTATCCATTTCTTAGCGGGGACATTGAGAGCATCAAAAGATAGAAGATGAGAGACAAGCGATACGAAGTAATCGCCTTTCGACAGTGCGAGGAATTTTCTGTTCAATACTAGCCGGGCTTTTGTCGGTCCGGTGGGGTGAAACTTACCGTGGACCTAGCTGAAACCTCTGAAAATGATAGATAGATAGATTGCTATCTAGAAAGAAAGAAGAGATGCATCCGCCTGTCCTGTATGGGCTCGGATGCCTGTACAAAGGTAATGGCCTTCATTATCACTGCCTCTGTACATGGCAGCGGGGACTGCCTCTATGGGCATTGGCAGGTTATAGTGAAGGTTTCAACTACTCTGGTTACTCACAAAATCGACAGGAATACACTCATTCCCATCTTCTTCCGGTCTGAATTCTCCTCGCCTGCTCGTGGCATCGACGCGAGAGAGGTGGAGCGAGAGCCTCCGAGTCGTTGATGCTGGCAGCGTTGGCGCGAAACGCCGAAGCAAGGTCTTGCTGCCGATGGCGCTCTCGTTGATTGGTGAATCCAAAGTCAGCGTGATTATTCGTGGGAGAGCTTTGGGAGACGAGACTGGCTCATGACAGTTCGACCTTGAATTGGACACTACTATTGTAACGGAACACTTCTGGGTTTGGCATGCACGTGCACCAACGGACAGGGGCCTGTCTGGCAGGTCGGAAATCGAGAATGCCTTTCTGGTCGACGCTGGCAAGACAACACCACCATCAAGACCGCCCACAGAGAGGCAGCGGTTAGGGCAACGAGCGCCTAGCACGGCCGGCGGCGTTGAGGAGTGGCAAAGGACAAAAGGAATGCTCGGGAATGGGCAGACGGTATCCAAAAACCATAGAATACTCTGTTCAAACTGCAAAGAATGACACATGGCTAGCACTGTGAGCTGTTAAGCACTCTGACAGCAATGGCATACCCGCACAGCCATTCTGTGACTGTTGTAACTGTTGTCGTGCCCCTCTTGTTGATGCTTGAATGCTCAACAGCCCCATTCCGCCTTAATGCCTCTCGTCCACAACCAAAATTGATGTTGGTCCTTTTTGTCCTGACATGTGACCAGCTAGATCGCCTCCCTGCCACCACCCTGCCACCCCCCTGCCACCCACAACACAGCCACTTCGCCTTGTTACACTATGGCGAGAACGATTACCGTGTCGGTATAGAAAGACCGACGCGCTCTTCATCTGTCGTTGCTCCCAGAGAGGTACTATTGGAGATGACGATCTTACATCGGTCTTGGCTGAGGGCCATGTTGTATGTGATGATGTCGTTGTCCTTGCATAGAGTCTCAATCCAAGGGGTGTATGTACTGTAGAGGGCCCAGGTAGAAACAGTGTACCCAGGAGCGCATGCCAAATGTGGGATGACGATTGTGCAGTGTGCTTTTGGCGCTGGAACGAAGAACAGTCTCGTGGACATTCTGTGTGGTGCATCCTTCAATCCGGCATTTCCATATCACGATACTCTGTTTAACATTTCTTGAAACACCCAACACCAAATATTCCGTATCACCCCAGTAACGCGCATTGACGCGAGACACTGATTGAGTGGAATGCTTACCAAGGTCAGGACTCCGGATGGCGCAGCCGAATTTCTGACGGCGACGAGGGCCAACAATGTCCAACGTACCCAGCAGATGAGCTTTCCAATCTCCATGTCCAATAAATTCAACGCCACGACTCAACTCTCGATGCTGCTTTCCTTTCTCGTTTCTTCATTGTGACTGCGTCCGGAGCTTTACAGCTTTTCTTGGTGCATGGCGAGAAAAGAATTTTTCATAAGACAAGAAAGAAAGAAAGAGAGAAAGAAAGAAACTTCAGCTTCCGGGACCGCCGCAATTCCGACTGCTGAATACCCGTACATCCTGTACTGGTAGTCTCGCTCGCAATACTAGCCGGATAAACCACGGACAAACCGTGGTAGTTTCTGTCTCCTTCTCAAAGCGGTATAATGTTTGTCGGATGATCCAGCTTCGGTCACCAATCGGATCGCGGCCTTGCTATGGCCACAAACCTGGTTCTTTTTGGGCAGACCATACTGTAGACGTCCAATTTGGGACGCACGCTTGCTGCTTTATGGAAACCAAGTCGGTTCGGCTTTCCGCCCGTCAGGAAAAAACTGGAGGTCGTTGTGAAAAGAAGAGTCTCTCGACAGAAATAAACACCACAAAATGTTTATGCCCATTAGACGTTTCTTTTACGCTGTTGAGGTTGCGAGCGAATGGCCCGATACAGTC